CGCTCTTCCACATACACATTTCTCTGCTATATAGCTGTCATCCCCGTTTTGTTAAAAGTTCTACATTTCGAAAGCCACCCGTCAGCAAGAAAACTAGCTTTGTTATTCTGAGCCTTTTAAGACACCTAGTACAATCAACAGAAAAAAAGTGAAGGATAAAAGAATCATCTTGCAGTTCTAAGAAGCATTACCAACCTCATCTCTAGTCATTTTTTTCAGCTGTTTTAAGCACTCCTGAATTTACTTCATGTTGCTTTAGAGCCCATACAACACTCCACACAGTGTTCTCTATTGCACGGATACAGAAAAGATTGAACCCATTAAAAAAAATCATTGAACTCTAATTGATCTCATGCTGCACACAAGCTCTCTCCCCTCCACCCTCTTCCTTTGCTGAGTTAATCTGTAGCTCTGTCAGCATAGGACACTTACCAAGGGGTTTTCACCGGAAGAATGCAGTTAGGTTCTCTTACACACTGGAATATCTGCTACCCAGTAATGAAGCAGGCGCTGAGACGTCTCACTCTTTCAATAGCTATTCAGGTAGTGCAGCCAGCTTTCTCTAGCCTTCTGCATATACACACACAGGCGCAGAGAAGGAGGGAGAGAGAGAGAGAGAGAGAGAGATGCAATAAACTGAGCATAATTAAGAGAGCTCCTTTCTACAAATTACAGAAGCAAGCAGTCCTTACAGCAGTGGTTTCTTTAAAAAAGCAGTTTCTTCCCAGAACCCCTGCACCGTTTACTTTTTGCTTGTTTGTTTTGGAGAAACAAATCTTTCTAGGAAACAAAGTCATTGCTGTGTGATAGTGAGGCTATTTTTTCTTCTTCTTTTTTATGATGAAAGTTTCATTGTGAAATTCAGTCTAGTTTGCAGTCAAATGAAAACCATCTCTGTTCTTTATAGTTGAAGCAGCCTCTCCGCAAAGGGGCTTAGATCAACGGTCTCCTGCCTTTAATGACAGTATTTATGAAAGAAAGCATCTGCTCTAATAAATTCACCAATTAAGGAGGTAATGGCTTAGTAAATACATATTGATGCCTTTTTCAATATAAGCACCATGGGGAAAAAATCAATATTCGTAAAAAAGCAATACGACGTGTAATAGACCTGGTGCACTTAAAAAAATTTGGAAGAAAGAAAATAAACGTGTGAGTGTATCAGGTCTAATGTGTCTGATATAGGTGTTGGCTACTTGTCACTGGTATATGTTGATTAAAAAGTGTCAAGTGATTTCATAATGTTATTGCATTTGGCAAGGAGATTTGAGGGGTTAAAGAAAGTTTAATCTCCTACACAGATCTTTTAAAAATTATTATTAAAGAATTCACTGTCTTTGTAGCTTTAAAAATTAGTCTTTGTTATTTGTGATGTTACCTTAAATAGAAAGCAGATAAAACTAGTAAAATAAGAAAGCATCTGTCTGTGTCTCTCACCCACACATGAAAAATCATCAATTTCCTTTAATTTAACAATATGCATTTTTTAGTGCGTCTTTTGGGATCTTGGGACCTATAATATAGGATCATTGCTGGGACAAGTGCAAAGTGGGGATAAAAAAATGAGTGGACATATTAATGCAACTTTCCCCCACTAAGCTCTCAAAACAGCCAACATGACATTGCAGACCCTTGTGTGAGGATGTTTTCAAGGACTGCTGCTTGGTGCGTGTAGATGATGCTATTGTTAGAAGTAACTTTATCATAAAAGATGGAAATGGGAAGAAAAGGAGAAAGGCAATAATTAACAAAAGCCTGTTGAAATAAGTCACTACCGAGAGACTCCTGTATTGATACTTCTATCTAAAACAGTTTAAAGCCCTATTTCTGAGAATCTCCCTGACACTTTTATTCAGCTAGCTAATCGTTTGAGAGTGGATTTTTTTTCTCCACACACACAACTGTACAGCTCATGTTAATCTCTAAAGCATTCATTTGGTATTTAATTACTTTACACAAAAGACAAATACTTCAGCTGCTTTACTGGCTTTATTGGGAGGTCATTAAATGTAACCCAGGCAGCAAGAGGATACATCAGTGTCTTGGTCCTCTCCTAAGGCAGGCTGGGCCTGGAATAGATGTGAATTCCCCCCATTCAGTGCTCCTATGCTGTACTCAAGCGGAGAAATGGCCTTGTTTTTAAAGCAGGTGATAGCACTCCCTGAATGAGCTTGACCTTAGGGTTGTATTTTCAAAAGGGGCTTCCTGTTAGGATCTGGGTAGGGAAGACACTCAAAATTAGTTGATAATGTGGAAAATACAGGCCTTAACTTCTATGCCTCAGTTTTGCTCCCAACTACAAAATGGAGATAATACCTAGAATACTTATATCTGACAGAGCTCTCTATATGCGATTTGCTGCACGGAAACCATCCCTCACAAATCATACCCTACATTTCTTCAGGCTCAGTGCTCAGTCTGACAGTCCAACCAGAAGGCTGATGGCTTGAAAGGTCATCAGGACTACCCATGTCAAAGACCCTCAGGGAAAGTTCCCAGCTCCTTACAAGCTTTGGTGGCCCCACGTCATAAGCACCCAGGCAGTATGGTAGTGGGCAATACCCCTCACAATGCTAAGACATCATGGCTGGATCCTGAGGACTTTACCACACTGGAGGGACCAGGTGGGCCACAGCGAGGTGAAGAACAGCAAACAACTGCCTCAGTAAGATCCGTCCCTCATGGAACTTATCAAGCAATATCACGAGGGAAAAAAGCCAGTGCCAGATACCCAAATCACTTGTTTCTCGAATTAAATTGGACCAGCTTGGACAGCTGATACTTGATACCTTTTTGTGTTTGAAAATAAACATTCTATCCTTCCAGCTATTCCATCCTTCCCCATCCTGAGGTACAGATGCAGTACCTCACAGAAGGAAAAGATACAAATGGGGAGAAGAAACTTTTATTGTCTTTTTAGAAAGAATACAGGGACTTATGTCTTTTGGGAATAACTGAACTCACTCTCTTCGGTGGGGTAGCACGTGACAAAATGCAGCCTACACTAAAAGGACTGTGTGTGGTATAAGGAAAGGGGTTGTGGAGAGCCCTCCCCTAAATTATGGCACAACTTTGAAAGAACAAAAAAGTCATCTGAGAGCTGTGAATCTAATTTTACTTTGCAAAAAAAAATTTTCTATAGAGCTGTTCTCCTGATATGTGTAATCAATTGGTCATACTTCATTGATATAATCAAATTTCTTTCATTTGCCTGTTAATACCTAAACTTTTACTTTTAATAAGTATTATTAAAGTCACTGACAACCTGTATATGAAGGCTCTGAAGAATAATTCTCACTTTATTTGGGATGTGCAAAAAAGTGTTTACAGTACCCACTAAAATAAGAAGCATATTTAATATGGTAGAGAATGTCACTGCTTCATCATTTTTTTTTTTTTTTGTTCCTAGCGAGGATGCAGAGAGGTTGCATGTAGTGCATTATTTAGTTACCTTTAGAAGGTAAGCAAATAAAAATGCCACAATTATCAATGGGGATTTTCATATCATATGATATTGCCAAATGAATTCTCACTGCCTGGAAATGGAAAGAGGTAGCAAGTCTTAAATCTTTTGGAATTGGTAGGAAGTGTTACAAGTCCTGATTTATTCAGGTCCCACACCCCGTTAGTTTATGGCATCTAGCGTGCCCCGACTGGTTCGAGGCACACTCTACCCAGTGTCAATTGCGAGGCTCACAATGAGCAGGTCTTTGCCTTCTTAAGTCACGTTACAAACGCCTGCCGGTGGCAGGGAGGGGGGTCCGGACCCACCCACTCTTGTAGACCCCGGCCCAGGGCCCTGACACTGGGAATCGCATTCCCAGTGGCAGTAGGTGGGGGCGTACCCCTAAACGCGCCCACTCTCGGGCTCCGCGACCCTACCCTGGGCCAATATTCAACCCTGCCACCCGGCTCCCCCTTCCTCGGAGAAAACCCTTACTCCTCCTCCATTCCCCTGGACTCTGTACCTACTCCGCATTCACCTCCCTCCCCTTGCGCCTCCCTCATCCCCTTTTTATCTCTGTCATCTCCCTCCCCCTCAGCGGGTGTTCTCCTTTTCTCGGCGCCCATCGTGCTGGTGACATCATCCCTCGTGCCTGGTGCACCGGTGATGTCCCCCCGGCGCCCGGCGCGCTGGTGACGTCATTCCTCGCGGCCGGTCCCAGGTGCGGTTGGAATGCCCCAGCCACCTCTGCCCACCGTATTTCTGCACCATGCTGGCCCGCCCCTTCCCCGTGAGTGTCTGTCAGCGCCTGCCTCGTTGCCGCTTGGGCTGTGTCTGCACGCACTCCTGCATCGCCCCTGTCCCCTTGTGGTGGATAGTGGCGGGGTTGACTCACCTCGTCACAGGAAAGATATATGGAGGTATGTACAGTACTGTGATACCTCCAATCAAGAATGCCCTCAATTACTTGTGAAGAGAGCGTATGACTACAGCCCTTAGTGGAACTTGTGTCTTGCAATTATCATACCAATTAGTACTAGCACTCACTAATTTTCGTTACCACTGTCCCTTTACATGCTTCTCCTCAAACTCAAACACTACATAGGTGATTGATTAGTAGGAGAGGTTTTTCCTGAGAAGCAAATTATTTATTGTTACTCCTGATACTATTTCTAGACAGAAACAAACCAAGACCATTAGCATGAAGTTAAGGCTGAGAGTACATTTTGATAATGTAACACTTCGAGGGATGTTGTCATGATCTTAACACCAAAAATTCAGAGTTAATGTTACAATGGAAAATATCAAGATATGTAAAGGGAGTTGAGACACACAGAAAACCTTAATTCTGTCCTGTAATGATACTATGCAATACATTTACAGCATGTGGCCCCACATTAGACTAAGCTGTTTTTAAAGACGGGGGCTGTGTCTACACTGCACCCCTTTTCCGGAAAAGGGATTCAGATGAGACAAGTCGGAATTGCAAATGAAGCGGGGGATTTAAATATCCCCCGCTTAATTTGTATAAACATGGCTGCCGCTTTTTTCCGGCTTGGGGCTTTGCCGGAGAAAATCGCCAGTCTAGACGGGATCTTTCGGAAAATAAAGCCTTTTCCGAAAGGTTTCTTATTCCTGATTTTAAGAGTGCCCTTGTTATGATCCTGATATATTCCCGCCCCCCGTCCCATCCTAAGATTCTCTCCAATCTTGCACAGCTATGCAGAGGTCTGGAATACAGTATAGACTTTAATAATTTTTTATTGCTGCACATGTCAAAAAAAGTATGTGACTTTCAATGTACAACATAGAAGATTTTATATAATTGATTTATGGCAGGGGGCTTTTCTTTTTTACTGCATTTAAATAGACCATGGGGAGATTGTGTTCTCATTTACACATATATAACAAGACAAAACTAATCAAGCTAGAGTTGTTAAATGTATAGTTGTGTATTAAAAGCTAAATTTGACACACAGCATCCTCTACCTATACATATTGACTTGTAGCTTTTGTAACTTCAAGACTGAATGTGCCATCCTGATGAACTTTGAAAATATCAGCGCCTCTATGCCCCAAGGTC